CCCCCCCCCCCAGCGTCCCCGGAGGATATGAGGGAGTTGGGCGTCTCAGCTCAGCACTCTGGGTTTTAAGGTTGAGGTTTGACCAGGGCCGTCCCTTCCGTCCACAGTCAGACATTTTGTGTCGGCCACGTGCTAGTGTAATGAACGGTTAAGCCTCCTCGCACCCTAAAACTTGAAGAGTGGTGTTCCCATTTTGTGGAGTTGTTAATTTCATACTTTTGCGTTATTACTGCGTAGCTGCACGTCAGTGCAATGTGTAGTAGTTAGATTTAGCCAACATTTCTAAAAGTATGCACATGGGACTTCAAAGCGCTTTAAAATCTGGAATTTGAATTCTTTGTCCGCAAACTAAAGTGCTGTTAAAGTAGTAAACTAAAGTAAGAGCAGTGTTCTTCCTATCAGGGAAGCACAGCTGGGATGATGTTCCCACTATATGGAATTTTTTCCTATGCGATATCTAATATGTTACTTCTTAGAAATGGGTATATAGGTGTAGGTTTTAACTTTTCAGGTAATCCTCTTAGGCCTTACACTCTTGCCAAAGACAGGTCAGAGTCAGGTGATTGTTTCATCAACGTTAAAAGTCAGTTTATCTTTGGCACTGTCCACATTTCAAGGGTTCAAAAGCAGCAGGTGATTAGTGGCTACTGTGTTGGACAGGACTAGCCTACAGCAGTCCACTGGTTTATTAAATAAATATTTGAGTACCAGCATTATGGCAGGGCCTGGAAAAGCAGGGTGAAGTAGAGAGCAGCCTCCTCCATTCTGAAGCCTCAGAACCCGGTGGTGCCTATTGCACTGGTGCGATTTAGGGGCTTTGGGAGCATCCTGGGAGCCTGCCAAGGTTGGGGGATAGGCAAAGAAAGGCTGCCCTAGGGAACCTGAGGAGGAGACAGAGACAGCAGGAGTCAGGTTCTTAGGAAAGCTTTGACCTTAAACTGGAGGCTTTTCAGGAAAAAAAATGCAGTGGATTTTGAAGGAAATTCTAAAAGAGGAGTTAAACAGTGTTTTGCGCAAAAGAATCATCCTTGCGGCAAATGAAAAGTTTGAAGATGATTCCTTTAAAACCAAACTCAGTCACATGGCTATTTTTGTTTGTTGTGGGGCCAGCAGTTACAGAGCAGACTTGGCCTCTGGGACCCTTGTCATTTGGGAAAAGAAAAAGAACCCTTTCTTCACTGAATGTATAACATGGACAGGAGCTCTTAAATGCATACATGCATCCCATAGTTGACCTTAAAATCATCAAATGAGAACTAAGACTTTGAGGAGGGTGAAGGTTTAATCACATTTTTTTTCTTTGTTTAGACCAGATGGGCTTTTATTGTGCCCATGGCTGTTTTTTTTGTTCGTTTGTTTTTGTTTTTGAGGTTTGAGTATGACCCTGGTAACACTTTTACCTTCTTAGGTTCCTTGCCAGAATACATGAGACCAAGATAATAGGTTTAGTTCACCTATTACCATATCCTTATTCCTTAAAACAAGTATGGACATTTCTTTAAGAGGGTACTTGCAAAGAAATGTATAATTCGTTTTTTTTCTAAGACCAAAAGAGCTCTTCACATCAGGTGTGTTTTCATAGTGGAAAAAATGGCTAAGATGGCATTTAAAAATAATCTACATAAAGAATGGAGATCACCATTTAAAACTATAGGCGAAGGTAAGAAATACTTTATGCAAAATATTTGTATTGTTAGTTACTTCACTGAGAGCAAATTGTGCAGTGCTGGAACATACCGTATACACTACAGAAATTGGTATTTTCAGATGTGAAATGAGACGCTGGCATTCAATAGTGAGATGTAATTTAGTTATATTCTAAAATTGGAAAAAATACGTGTTCTTTATGTGAGGCTCTCATCCTTCCATTACACCAAACATGACACTCTTTTCCAGCACACTTAGCCTTGATGTTAGCTGTTTTTGAGTTTTCCATTCAAAGTTAGAAAGCCCAGCAGTTCTGTGGTTCACAGTAGATGTCCATGTGGGACCCTGGTGGGCTGTGTGCGAAGACTAGGCACTTCTCACCCATCATAAGAATTGTCTTTCCTTAAGAGACGCATCTCCAGTTTCCCCACTTTTATGCCTTTTAAAATTTTTTCCCCAACTTTTGCCATCTTGTGTCTATTAATGTAATTTTGAGCACAATGGGGTATTCTGATTGGTTGCATAGCCAACTAATTGTTGGGGTTTTTTTTTTTCATTTTATAAGTAATCTAAATTGAAGAAAAAATTAGATACAGATAAGCCAAAAATCCTGGATATAGATAAACAGAAATAAAATAGGGTGGGCAGGTGTGTGTGAGATTTTTATCTAGGCATTCTGGTGTATGGTCTACCAGAATGTCTGTTTTTTTCCAAAGTCAAATTCTGTTAATGCATATATTATCTTATTACATAAATAGAGTAAGCTTCTTTATCTCTCTGTCACTATTATTTTACAGTCTTATTGTTAATGTCTGCATGGATCATAACTTATGGGGTGGTTAGAAGGGTTTTTGCCATTTTAAATAGTACTGAAATGAACTTCTTGTAATGTGAATCTTCTGTCAAATTGCTGTTTAGAATGGTTCATTTCTTTACCTACCCACCAATAGGATATGAGTGTTTCCTTCTCTCATGTTGACAGTTCTGTCACCTAAACACAGCTGAGAACCACTGATCTAAATTTGTTCTGTCATTTTGAAAACATTATTTTAAAATAATGGTAAGGAAAAAGTTGAACATTGGTTAACTCAGAAGAATGGAAATTGGCAAGGATGACAGAAGTTACTTATTCTACATTTTTGGATGATTTCACTTTCTGCAATAACCATGTATTACTTTTTTTTTTTTTTTTAATTTTTTTTTTTTCGACGTTTATTTATTTTTGGGACAGAGAGAGACAGAGCATGAATGGGGGAGGGGCAGAGAGAGAGGGAGACACAGAATCGGAAACAGGCTCCAGGCTCCGAGCCATCAGCCCAGAGCCCGATGCGGGGCTCGAACTCACGGACCGCGAGATCGTGACCTGGCTGAAGTCGGACGCTTAACCGACTGCACCACCCAGGCGCCCCCATGTATTACTTTTCTAATTAAAAGAATTGGTAACTCTGTAATTCTTCCATGTTTCCCCCTCCTAACTTATAACTGAGGAAGATCACCCAAGCAATTTAAACCAGGTAGGTTTTGTTTTGTTTTGTTTTGTTTTTAAGTAGCCAGGAGAACGGGAAGTGAGAGCAAGTTGGAGAGGGTGAAAGGAAAATTGCTTGATTTTTCTCTGTGACCCCTAGCACCAATCGCCATAACTTGGCTACGGTATAGTTCAGATTTTTCAGTGAAAAAGTATTAGAAAACAGTACTGTTTTACTGATAGTTGCAGGAAACAAAAACACGAGTTAAATAGGAAATAATATGGATTGCTTTCAGTTAAGTGTTTATCCTGAATTCATGTTTGAAAAAAATATATATAGTTTAATTAGAAAATGGTGCTGATGAGTGAATTGACCTTAAAAGTCCCATCCATCTTCAAGCAGAAGTCCAGTTAACTTCATCTTGGACCAAACAGCTCCCTGACTTGTACACACAAATGTACAAGTGCCTGCCCATCCTTACCTCCTTAGATAGTAGCTCTGGGAGGATTTGGAACATCCAAAGGAGAAGCTGGGACCATTCTTTTCTTGGTTAGAATCCCTCATTTATTGAGAGGTCACGGGATTATCTATCCCCAACTCCCTCCCCACTGTCCCCTCTTCTGCAGTTGTTATCTCCCTTGCAAGTGAGTCAGGATCCCTTCATAGTCAAGGTGTAGAGGTGGAGGAGGCTTAGTTTTCTCAAATGCTGCTGACCCCATGCCTGAGAGCCGACACCTTTTGCCATGCTCTTGTTTAGAGCTTTAAACGGGCTGGAGGAAGGCTGCTGAGGGTTGACTTTCCAGACCTGTTATCCTGGGCACAGCCCCAAGTGGAACCCTCCTGTGACCTCTGCTTTCTCCAGTAATTCCCACTCTGCTCTGCATATTCCTCAGTGGCTGATCCTCCTACTGTGCCTGTGGCACTCTGTTCTAGCAGATAGCATGCTTTACTACATCTTCAGCTTCCTGGAAAGGTCAAGGGGCATGCCTTCTCTGCTGAGCCATACAGTCCTCTGCCCTACTACCCCCCCCCCCCCCCCCCCCCCCCAGTAAATTCTGTTACCTTCTACTCATGGAGAAAATTAAAGGTCTCCAGTGTGCATTCCCTGAACTTCTTGCTCTCCCGGTTAGAAACTCCCCTACACCTGTATCCATCCTGACCTCTGTAGGAAGAGCTCCCTGCCTCCAACAAGAGTAGAATGATCTAATTTTTAATATGTATTTATTGTTGTAGTTGAACATCAGTTTTTTAATGTGATCTGTATTTTTTATGGCTTGTCTGTTTTTTGTCCATGCTTCTTTTGAGTTATTTTTTTTCTCACTTAGGGTAAAAACCGTATCCTTGAGCAAAAGATAAATAAATGCAAATACCTAAAATTTTCATATATCCAGAAAGGTCACATTCTGGATATATGTTTAAATACTTAAAGTATTTAACAGACGGGTTGGTTGCCATTTTAAGTTAGGAACTCAGAACTCAGTAACAGAGACTCGAATGTCTGTATTCTTTCATCTAGCAACAGATTGTGAGGAGAGAATCCTAATTACAAAAGAAATTTTACATGAAGGTATTGTGCCATTATTATGATAGGCAAAATTAGAAATATATTCAACAGGGAGGATTGTGAAGTAATTTTTGGTACATCCATATACTCTAATGTTTTTAGTCATTTAAAAAATATTCAGAGTTGTTAAAATAAGCTAAGTAATAGAGTTTTATTTCACTACATTTGAAATATACAAAGAGACTGAACTAATATACCAAAATCTTCATAGTGACAAACATAAATATTACTTGCATTGATGTGATTATGCTTGTGATCAGAAAGAGGTTCTCTTTATATCCCAAGTTTTCTATTGTATCATCTACTCAGTCCCCTACAATCCTGACACAAATCCCAATACAGTACTCTGACAAGCCTGTGACCAGTTTTCCTCATTTAACAGTTGTGAAAACTCTTTCTCATACTGAGATATAGTGGTAACTAAAGTAGACATCACCCTGCCCATCATGAAACTTGAAGTCTAGCAATGACTTTTAAAATTGTTATACTTGTAATAAGTTAACATTATCACCACTGAAATGCTAAATAAGGTTATGCAGAGCAAGCTCTCTCCACCACTCAGTTTCTCTTCCTGAGAGATTTTCTGTACATAGAAGAAAGTGTGTGGTCTATAGCATAAAGGATAATACCCATTCTGCACATTTTTCATCCCACAGTGTATCTTGGAAATATGTCCCTTGTTGATGGGCCTTTAAGTTGTTTTCTAATTTTTCAGTCCTTTTTCAATAACTTCTCATGCTTTATTTCCATAAGCCTTTACACGTGTTTGAAACTAATACTTCACCATTGGTACCACTCTCAGTTTTTCTTAGGTCTTTCTTGCAGGTTCCTCAGGGTTCTGTCGTTGGCCCTCTTCTTAGGGATTCCATCCTTCCACTATTGTCTCTGCCCTGATGACTCCAAATACAGAACTGACAACCCACCTCTATTCCAAACCACATTACCAAGGGAACCTTAAAGTCAGTAGCCTTCATGGTATTCATTACATCCACCCCTCAGAAAGCCATTCCCTGCTTATTTCCATCTAGCTACATGGCTCCCATTTTTGTAAGCCAGAACCTCAACTCCCCTCCACCATCTTTCATACCCAGCAACTAAACCTGCAGATTTGAACCATTTAACATTTTTTTTCTCCCAGTTCCTTCCTCTTGATTCCTGTTTTGCTGTTTGGTTCAACAAACCAGTTGAAAGAAATATCCAAAAGGTGATTTCACCCAGTGACCTGGGAGGCAATATGGCTAAATCTAACTCGTCCTCATTTGGCTTTTGGCATATAAGTGTTACTCTGTATAATTTGGATCCTCTGTCAGATAGTCATAGAAAATCCCCCAAACCAAGTGAGAACATTTTAGTTGTAGTGCTGTATTAGGTGTGTGGGCAATTACAGTTGACTTTATTTTTATGGTTTGTTGGTTTTACTTTTTTTTTTTTTTAATTTTTTTTTTCAACGTTCATTTATTTTTGGGACAGAGAGAGACAGAGCATGAACGGGGGAGGGGCAGAGAGAGAGGGAGACACAGAATCGGAAACAGGCTCCAGGCTCTGAGCCATCAGCCCAGAGCCTGACGCGGGGCTCGAACTCACGGACCGCGAGATCGTGACCTGGCTGAAGTCGGACGCTTAACCGACTGCGCCACCCAGGCGCCCCTTACTTTTTTTTTTAATACAAAAGAAATACATGCTTATAAAAACCTCATTACAAATATGAATAAACAGCAGAGGTAGGTCCCTGTCATACCCCTACTCCCTTTCCCCAGAAGTTACTTTTTTAGCACTCAGTATGTTCCAGGTGCTATTCCTCTGCAACTCCATGCGGTGAGTACTGTTATCTTCACTTTGCAGATGAGGAACCTGAGACACAGAGAGGTTAGGTGAGTCTTCTGAGATCACACAGGTTGTAAGTGGTAGAGCCAGGAGGATATGACTTCAGGCATCTGTTTGTAGAGCCCACCTCTCCTCATTTGACACCTTAAGTTTTCAGAAATACTTATTTTCCGTAAAAAGGGGGGAAATGGCAGAGATGTGTGAAAAAATGTGGAATGAAGGAAAGAAAGACTTAAAGGTGTAATAGGCCTGCATGCATCCTAACTGAAACCAGGGCTTATGAGGAGGAAGTAGACAGGGTAGTGAGAAGTAGTGAAGAAGCAACTGAGAAGTTGTGTTGTGTGTATCACGACTCTAAATCTGTTTCCTTCTCTGTAAATGGGGGGAGGGTGTTGTGGTGCAAAGAATAATGAGTAAGTTCTCTGTAAATGATAGCAATTACCAGAATACTATCCTTGGATTTTGCACTGGAGGATGAAGACATTATTAGCTCATATTTTTTAGAACTATGAGTATCTTACTTCCATGTACCTGCTTGATTAATGCTATCAAACATGGTAGATTCACCACAAGAATGCCTTTGGCCGTTACTGCCGTTAATTCTAATTTGCATCACTGTAAATTGACCAAAATGTGTTAAAAGTTGCAAGTTTCAGAGTCAACCACAGAACAGGAATGGAATAGGGATTATCATGGTAGATATTCACAGACTGTTTATTAATTGATCAGTATTTAAAATCATGGGGCACCTGGCTGGCTGAGTCAATAGAGCATGCAACCCTTGATCTCAGGGTCGTGACTTCAAGCCCCACGTTGGGCTTAGAGTTTAAATAAATAAATAAATAAACAAACAAACAAACTAAAATCTTCAGATGTGATACCCTTGGACAGATTGGAATTCTGAATTTCAGGATCCACAAAGGAGATTCTATGGCCTGAAAAATCTAATTTAATGTTTAACAGTTTTCTCCCCTGGAAATATCTTCATCACATGTAACCCAAATTGATCCTTGTTTTGAATTAAGGCCTCTTGTGTCTTGACCCCTTCTATTGTCAAGATAATCTTAGTAAAGATGAGTAAATGTATAGTGCAGAAACGTGTTGCCAAAATCTCTTAGCGATCTTGTTGGGAAAAGCAAATGTTTCCTCTTTTCCTGTGTCCATCTCCTGGGCGTTGAGGGAGACTCAGCCCTGGAAGGGGTGGGGTGGTCTTCTCTGCATTTATAGTTAAAGCCTCGCCTTGGGAGAATAGACTTGGGAAAAGGAATGAGGGAGATAATAGTTTCTTCACCTGTATCTTAAGAACTGTAGTTTCTGTCTCTGGAAAGTAAAGCGTTTAAATCTTTTTTATACCATGGTGTAACATTCCATCCTTGATATCTAGTAGTATATTGTTACTAAAGGCTTAATCATTTTTCATTTATTTATAACTGTGATCTTGGTTTAAGTAGAGGCTGCCCCTGTATGTGGGTGTTTTTGCTCCATGTTTATGGTTGTAGTTTTTGCTTTGTTCTTTGTTTTATGTATGTTTTTGAAAGCTTGGTTTTGTTTGTTTGTTTTCTTTTTTCCCCTTTGTCATTCACAGGTTCGAGAACTTGTTCTGGACAATTGCAAATCAAATGATGGGAAAATTGAGGGCTTAACAGCTGAATTTGTGAACTTAGAGTTCCTCAGTTTAATAAATGTAGGCTTGATTTCAGTTTCAAATCTCCCCAAACTACCTAAATTGAAAAAGGTAAGTACTTTTTCTTCAGCAGTAAAAGAGAGAACATTATGAGAAGGGAAACATAGGTGATTTTACTTGTAAGGAAGCATTTAGTGTAGCAGAAAGCACATGGCCTTTGGAACTGGGCATATCTGGGATTGAATTCCAGCTCTATCATTTCCCTGATGGGTAATCTTCCGCAGGTTACTTAATCTCTCTAAGGCTCAATTTCCTCACCTGTAAACTGGTGCTACCACCTGACCTTACAGAATTGCTGTGATGTTTGGAAATAATACATGTTGGATGATCAATAAATAGTTATGAAGAATAATTATTTTGTGAATAAGTTACTAATTGCTATAAATTTGTTGATATGTTAGCTATGTGTTTTTTCTTAGTATGCTCTGGTTTAGGAACCACAGGGGTCTCTCTTCATATTTTGTTTGTTGATTAAGGGTGAGTTTCAGTAAAGACTTCAGATTTGTAATCTATGATAATTCAAACCCATTACGAATTCTTAATGATTAGAAAGAAAGTTTAAAATGTGTTGTGATTAGGCGCACCTGGGTGGCTCAGTTAGTTAAGCATCTGACTCTTGATTTTGGGCTCAGGTCATGATCTCCCAGTTCATGGGTTCGAGCTCCACATCGGGCTTTGTGCCGACAGTGCAGAACCTGGTTGGGATTCCCTCTCTCCCTCTCTGTGTGTGTGCCCTGCTTGCACAAGCACATTTGCACTCTTTTTCTCTTTCTCTCCTTCAGAAAAAAAAAATTAATTAAAAAAAATAAAATGTGACTGCATGAAATCACTGTAATGAAGCTACTGTATTTCCCTATCCTAATTGATGGCTCATTGTTCATATTTTATTGGTCTAATTATAAACCAATCAGACCCCCCCAACTACCAATAAAAAACCCTCAAGGAAAATGTTTTCTCATGTCCTTACCCATGTAACTGTCACTAAGCTCCAGAATGTAAAAACTGGAAGAAACTTTGCTCTTCTAGTCCCTTATTTTATAAGCATAGCAATAGACCCAGAAAGGTATAGTAATTTGCCTAAAGCCACCTACAAAAGAGGTTTGTACTAGAGCCAAAACTAGAATCCATATCTCCTATTTCCTAAACCATGCTTTTCTTATTATATAATAAAAGATACGTGGTCACATAAATATTGCAGAATTTTCCAGTTTCGGTGTTCACGTTATTAGGGATTTTAAGCAGAACTGTCATCCAAAAGTACACATTGAAGTCTGGAATCAGAATTAGACAAAATGCAAATAGGCTGTTCCTGTAGTCTGTTTGAGTCCTGAGAGGAACTTGTTTTGGGTTAAGTATATGAATTAAAAACCAGAAATGTTTACTTATTTGCCTTAGTTAGGTAGTAAGTGTTCAGGCAGTCCTCATGAGTTTCAGGTAACTTAGCTTCCTATCAGGAAGAATAATCATGTTATATTTAAATTGGTAAATAGTTCCCTTTCTTCTGTTAAGCATCTACTTTAGAGGTTCAAGTATAATCTTTTTATATTTACATGGTTATTGGTGACATTGGGAGCTCTGATTAGCCCATTAAACAACTGGTGGCTTTCTGGCATGTATCTACATAAACTTGATGCTAGTATGATTCTAGTGTGTATTTTGTGTTGTTTTCCTAGCATCCTGGTACATTTTCCTGATGTACTGTGGTCTGTGTGCTGTCAGACTTAACTCAGAAGAGGAGTGAATCAGTGACCATCTATATAGGCTTTATCAAATTCTTCTGAAGTCTTGTTAATCACTTCCTTGCAGAGTTAGGGAGGAATGGAGAGATCCTACAAATCAAACTTAAAGGCAGATAAGATGTTCTCACAACTGATACAGACCTTATTTTCTTTCTGTCCTAGAGCACAGATTATTTTTTAACAAGAAACAGGTTCTGAAAGAAATTTTGTTGTACGAATGTCACAGGTTTCCTAAATTTACACATTGATTTCATTTCAAAATAAACATGTCACTAAATGCTTTGGCAGATTGCCTTGTTTCTCTGCTTCCTAAGATAGTCATGTTGAAAGGATACGAACATTACATAATGTGTGATATTCCAACTAACCAAGAGAAATGGTCTCTTTGTTTTGATTTACTAAAATCTCAGTAAAGCTAACACTTGAGTCTTTGTTGATTATAGACTTGTATTTTTAAATGTAGACCATGACTAGATAATCTGACTGGAATATCCCATGGGAAGGAAGAAATGTTTTGAAATGTTGCAGTTTCATCTTCTGAAATATTTAATAACACCTAAGTTGTTGAAGACTTGAGTTGTCATTTCAAGTCATTCTTCCAACAAATATTGAAGTTTTTAAAAGTTCCCTGTTCTGCATCATGTAGTTTATTTCATAGCATGCCAAAGACCAAATTACATGAAGTTTTCATGCTATTCTTTGTACGTAACATGGTGGGAAAGGCAAATTCTTCTGAAGCTAGCCTGCCTGGCTTCAGAATCCTCAGTCACCACCAGAGCTACTTTGTGATCTTGGCCAAGTTTTAGAGTCGTCTTTGTAGTTCATTTTTCCTCATCTGTAAATGCAGGTAATAATTCTACCCTACCCCATAGGGTTAGTAAAAGTAAATGAGTTCGTGTATCTCTAGTGCTTCAAACATTGCCTGGCACTTAGGTACTGTGTAAGAGTTAGATGTGGTTACCGTTGTTGTTGGCACTTAAAATAGAGAATTGAAACCAGTTGTATAGCCTAAGTTTTCTCATCTGCAAACTGAAGAGTTTGAATTATATGCTCTCAACTGTCTAACTTTTCCAGGCTCCAATTTCTTTCACTTCCCATTCTGATTCCTTGGTGAAGGCTCTTTCTTCATTGGCACACGGCTTGCTGTGCTACTTGACCTGCAGCTAAGAAATAAGAGTAGGTTCTTATAAAGGCTAGTGCGGCTTAATGCAAGAAGTGGCCTCTGGGGAGTTGGTTTCAGCAACCCTGAAGCTGTTGCTTCACTCACTTTTCTGAGGTCATGGAGCTTCTTTAAGGGCTTGTTTTGGGGCCTATCCCACTCCTGTAGCCTTCAGAGCAACATTCCCTGGTGGCTTCCAGGTATAGAACCCTACAATGTGTCAGAACTCTACAGACCAAATTAGGTTTCGAGTCGCCATAGTGAGCTTTGTTTGGCACACGGAATAAGCTGCTTAGAATGCACAGACCATTTACCCTTCCTGGCAGGTATAGAGTATTACAACTTCTCAAAGAATTCTAATTTGCTTTGACCCACTTTTTAGGTTAGAAAATGAATTCACTGATATTAGGAGCCAGATCTTGAGCAGACTATTACAATTAGCAACTGGTTAAGGAACTCTTAACTTCTAACACAGCTCTTCTTATCCATCCTGTTTCTCCTCTTCCCCTGAAATGCTCTTGGAATCTATAAACTATTTATCTGTGTTTAATCAAATAGAGCGAACAAACATGCCCTGATAGGAACAGAGATTATTTGATCTTGATAAATATTTAAAAACTGTATTTGGTACTTAAAAGTGTTTCTCTGTGTGTATTTGTGTGTATATTGTATATTCTCTTGCAGCTTGAGCTCAGTGACAATAGAATCTTTGGAGGTCTGGACATGTTAGCAGAAAAACTTCCAAATCTCACACATCTAAACTTAAGTGGAAATAAGCTGAAAGATATCAGCACCTTGGAACCTTTGGTAAGTATGTGAGAATTTGGAAACCAGGACTTATTGGTCATTTTCATTTTCATATTTCTTTATACTGAGGGAAATGCTTGGAAATAGTAATTGATCAAGAAAGTGGTGGTTCTTACTATAATACTTTCTAGAGAAGTTGTAAAGATCAGGGCCTTTCTAGTTCTGTGTTCAATGGCTTTGCTCTCCCTACCTGATACTGCGCTGGTGTCCTTTCACAGGGGAATTCTTTTCTTTTTTGTCTTTTTTGAGTTTCATATATTGACCATAGCCTTAAACATTTATCTTAATTTTTTTCCCCCCAGACTGGCCAGGCTATTCTATACTGTTATACTTTTATAGAAAAAGCTATTCATACTGGTGGCATATCTGAGTTGTAGGTGGAACAGTCCAAGGACAGCTGCAGTAAGTTTTAGGTCTTCTAATTGATTTTGTGCCCCAGCTGGATTGCTGTTGGCTAAAGTTTTGCATGGGAACCGCAAAATCCTTCTCAGTCTTACATACTAGGATAAGCTATGAAAAGATAAGTTTAAGTGTCAGTTGGGTTGCAGGCTCGCTGTGTGACCTTGGGCAAATTGTTTCTTCTCCCTGGGCCTCAGTTTCCTCACTTATGAAGCAGGAAGGCTAATAATCTCTGCCTTACCTTACTTAGAAGTTCTGAGAATAAAATAAGGTAATACGCTTAACTCTGCTTTGTAAGTCGGGAAACTGTACTAATGGGGGTCCAGTCCATGTGGAGATTGTAGGCCAAAAAAGAGCTGGAGAGAGAGGTTAATGCAAGGTATGGGGCAGCCTCCCAAGCTGTTCTGTTTGGCTGCCACCTGGAAATTTCTATGAATTTAAGATTGTTAAGTGACTGATTTCTCTAAATATGATACTCTGTAAATTTGGCATATATACAGAATTCCATTTTAATATGGCTAATGGAACTCCAGCTTGTTTCATACTATCCAAAGAAGCCTGTGGCTTCTTACTGTTTTTACGTATACATAAAGTCAAGTGTTTCCATTTGACTCACCTTACAAATGTTAATTGGAAGAGGTTTATGTAAGCATATAGGAGGTGTCTCAAGATCTGGAAGAGCAGAACCCAAGAGGATAAGGCATCTTTCTCTACTATCTCTTTCGATTCTGATGTCACAATACATTAAAATATTTGGGTTTCACATCACTTGTACAGAATGCTTTGTTAGTATTTCAAGGAAGGGAAGGTAGTTAAATTGTGACTTCTTTTAACAAAGGATTTCCTGCCAGAATTACAGCATCTTTTCCCTTCTAATCAATAATTAAGGCTCTACTCCAATGTAGGCTAAATTGCCTTTTATTGAGTCCCTTTATTTTTATGTTTCATTAAGTGGACCACATTTAGCTCATATTTCTCAAATGTTAGGAGCCTGTTTCTTAGCTTTGCTTCATGAATTTTGTCCCCTTTTCTGTTATAGGTACACCCCAGGTACTTGGGCTCCTTCCTTTTTTACTGGTTCTATTCTTTTCCTCCAAACCAATCCCCATTTCCAATATTTAAGCAAACATTTATTGAGTTTTGCTGTATTCGAGGACACTAACATTTGCCCAATGTGTCCTCCTAGAACCCAGAGAAAAGAGAAGAGCTGTACCTCTTTTAGAGATGAGGAAACCAAGTTTAGAGAGTTTAAATAATTACTCAGTGGCCACATATCTAGCAATTCAAATCCAACTCTGCCATTCTTTCCACTGCCTTTGGGACCTATTCTTTTTACCTACAAATTTATTTCATACCCAAATTGACCTTAAACTGGGAATTCCAACAGGAGTACTAAAGTAAGTGCTGGTGTCTCCCAGTTGACAGGCTACACCAAGCCTTTATTGTTTATGTGTCAATGATAGGCCTATCGATTCACAGTCATTGTGAGCGTAAGAACACCTTTTTTCTAGAACAGAGTGCCACACAGTACCTTCTCATGCTGGATGACTGGCTGTTGCCTAATTCTTATGCCAACTGGAGTCCTCTTTGATGTTTCACCAGAAGCCTTTGTCAGTGTCCTAGCACACAGAGGCAGAGCAGAAGCAAACCTTGTATGGGATTTGTTTTCTTGGGTGTTCTGACCTGGTCATTGATGAATGAGGGCCATTTGGTGGTTGTGAAAGTCTCAGTCCCCAAGGACAGTGAAGAATAAGAAATAATCATAATTGTATTTACCGTTTTTAGAGGATCTGTTACGTATCATACACTGTAGTAGATGCTTTATGTGTGTTGTCTCATTAGTATTCCTCAAAAAATATTTCTACAAATAGAATAGAAATAACGTGGCCCTCATTTTACATATGAGGAAGCTGAGGCTTGGGAGAGTCTGAATCCCTTGTCCAGAGTCACACACTTGGCTAGCCAGTGACAGAGCCACAGTGCTGCACACCCCGCGTGGAAAAGCCTGGGCTCCTGCCATTCTCCTGAACTTGTTGTTCACATTCCTAGGGGTGTTAGGGTAGGTCTCCGGAAGTTATATCCCGGAATAAAAAAAAAAGCTGTAGGAGAAGGTGAAGGGGGGGAATGTTGGGTCCATTTTGTCTTCTGAAAGTTTTCTTCAATGGGAAAAACACCATCCTCATCCTCATTAACCACGTACATTTTGAACACCGTCTACTTTGAGCCCAGTTCTTACAGTCAATGCAATGATTGTGAATGCCTCTGCTTGCTACAGGGACATTAATCGAGAGACAAAGAAGGCATCAATTCAAACTTCCTTGGACACCTTTTTTAAGAGACCTGGGCCATCCAAACCATCCCCCAAAGCCCTTCTAAATTCTAAGAAGGCAAGCAAAATTATTGTTAATAAAATGTTTAATGTTTATTATGGCTAGCCTATTAGTTTTAGGCCAAATTTCTGGTATGGTAGCATTCTGATTTTTGGGTTTCTTTTTTGTTTTTGTTTTTTTTTAGCAGTATTTACACATTACATTGGGGTCCTGAATAATCTGTGGGTAGTATATTTGGGGCCTTAAAGCACAATTTTAATATTTTAAGCAATTCTGGAGTACTACAATTACTTGGAATTTTGTTATTTGCTTTCACTTCGTTTTCTAGCATACTGTTTGGCATGTTTGAATTATTCATAATGGGTCCTTTTCTTAAGTAGCCAAAAACCTCACAGATACATGGAGTTTCAGTAATAGGTGAGCCTTGGAGGCCTGTCTACTGTGATAGTAGATGGAATTAGAGAAAGGGCTTGAGGCACTGTAGAACATTAAAGATTAGGGGTTGTATGTATTTTTATGCATCCATTTCCCGAGTATAATTTTGAGAAGTGAATGGCTCGTTCCTTGAGTAAAGAATTTTTAGACTTTGGGAAAGCTGCCTAAATTTACTTGTGGTTATATCTTAGCTGGTATAGAGTCAACCTTTTTGTGACGAGAAAAGAGTTCCCAGTGTGTCAGCTAGTTGTCTGGGGTGGTATTTCGACATTTTTTTCCTCTTTGGCAAGAAGTCCTACCTGGGATTCTGGAGGTCAGGGCCTGCCCAGTGGGGAACCTAATCTGAAAGCTACACAACATAAAAGCAGCTCTCCCTGTCATTAGAAGTTCGGGGACAGCTTTCTTATGACCTCAGGGGACTAACTTACATAAGCACATTATTTGATCCATAAACTCTTGGATCATTGTACATTGGTGTTTTGAGAAGTGTATTTGCCTGTTGCCGTAACCCTGTTCGGTGTTCCCTGCCTGGCTGTCTGTTCCCAAGGGCTGCTCAGTGAAAATAAAACACGTGTAGGAACCTCTTTGACCAGGAAGATGAAGATTCTGTAAGTGCAGGGGTCAGCCACCCTTTCCTCTACAGGGCCAGATAGTAGATCTGTTGGGCTTCTGAGGCCATACAGTCTCTGTTGCAACTACTCAGCTTTGCCGTGATTGTGGCACAAAAGAAGCTGTACATAATACATGGCCGAGTTACAATGAAACGTGTTTTACAAAAACAGGCAGTGGACCAGGATGGGCCAGTTGACTTTTGCCAAGCCCTGCTTTAGGGCAAAGATTTTTAAATAATTTTGTAACTCTCCAGAATTAGTCAGATACCTCAACTCCTGATGACAAGGTTTTTTTCATCTACATTTCTTCCCAGGTTCTTGTAAATGTTGAAATAGTTTTCCCAATAAAACATCAAAGCCTTCAAACGATGTTTATGTTTTCCAACAACTCAACTTTACACAGAGATCCTCTTAGTTTTTTTGTGTTAGTACTACTTTCTCAGAGAATACCAAGCTTTTTCTCCTGATTCAGAACCATTAAAAGTGACATTTATGAAGCTATATGTCATATGCCCTCCGGGCTTATTGGCCATATTCTAGAGGGCTCCAGGCTACATGCTGCTTCATGTTTTATGTTTGCTTTTTAAACACTTGTCCCTCTTCTCCTTCCTAAGAGGCTCTGCTGTACTTCTTCTGCTCTTTCCTTACTTGCCTATAATATACTACCTCTGCCCTCCCAATGTCTTCTTTCACCTTGAGTCACAACTTAGTAGAGCTGGGATAGAAATACTAGTACACAGTTGTAATAACAAATGAATCTCTGAGTAAAACAAATGGACAGTTTCTTATCTGCTTTGGCTACTCAGAGCACTTTCCTTGGCCCAAGCTTTAAATCTCAATTATTTTGTATTTCAGATAGAAGACAAAGTTCTAAACAAATGAGGTATTGCCACAAAATTTCAGGGTATGGTAAAATCAGAAGAATTTTATATCAGAAAGCTCTGGTAATAGTATTGATCTCCCCACCTCCCCCCAAATTAAAAAAGAGTAATGTTCCTCTCCTGAAGTTTCAACTCTGCGTGCCCCCCACCCTTTCCCCAGCCTGTACTGCCTCCTCTCTTCCTGGAGAGTAACCGTATCACTACACTTTGTGCTTTATTATATTCCGTTCTCTAGTGTTTCACATCTGTGTCTTTGAATAGAAATCTCAACTACCTTAAGATTGAATTGATTGATTGAGTGAATTTTTTTTCCCATCCTGTCACCCCAGAGCTTTGAAGACTAGGCTTGATATCCATCAAGTTCTTACTGACTATTGGGTTACTTAGATGTTAAAACTTAAGTTTTGAACCAAATTTATTGAACCTGTTTGATTTGTCTCATACAGTGAAAAGATCTAGTTTAAATTTTTTCAAATTTATTTTTCTTAAAACTACTAATGCTGCCAGAAAAAGACCATTCTCTGAGAAGGTAGATGTAGAAGGTAAATTGTAGAAGGTAAAATCTGGTGACTTACTATAAAGGTTGCAAAGGACTTGAAATGTTTTCCTGAGTATAAAACTGAGTCGGTAGCAGCTAACTGAACAGAGCCTAGAATTTTACCTCTTTGAGAGATGGGTTTTGTTGCTTATGTTCCTTTGGTTTAGAAAGTATGTTTTTTGATCCTTTTCTTCAGAAAAAGTTGGAATATCTGAAAAGCCTGGATCTGTTTAACTGTGAGGTTACTAACCTGAATGACTACCGAGAGAGTGTCTTTAAACTCCTGCCTCAGTTGACCTACCTGGATGGCTATGACCGAGAGGATCGGGAAGCGCCTGACTCAGATGCCGAGGTGGATGGTGTGGATGAAGAAGAGGAGGATGAAGGTGAGTGGCCATAACATCCAGTGAACCTAATTTTTGCCTTTCAAAGGTCATGAGGAAGCTCCAGAATGTTGTTGTTATGGAGAAAAATAGTATGCATGTGTATAGGCATTCCATTAATTTGGGATTAGGACTTCTGTTGAATTTTAAGAAGCCCTTGGGACATTGAAGCCTTCAAATGATTCGAAATAAAAATGGCTTGTTAGCTAGTTAGTCTTGAATTTGGAGAGATCATAGACTGTGCCCTAACATATTGAAGTAATTGTGGTTTACCCTTAACTAAAAGGACCATCATCTCTCATGTCTCCCTGCCTGTTCTAGTTATTCCCCTTTCTTGGTTACTGTCTGACTTAATCCTCACAAATTACGCTCTGTCAGCACTTCCAGATTGCACTTCCTGATGCCCGTGAGCTAGGTTAGGTTTCTGTGCATGCTAAAGCATCCCCTCATTTACTTCTTTCATAACCTGTCTCTCTGCTGTTCTTTGAGCTATGCTATTACGATCTTCTTGGGTAGGAACTATCTTTTTCATCTTTATTCACAAGGCCTACCACTTCGTAGATACTAGGTACATGTCCGTTATATCCAAATGTAAATAAAGCAGCTTTCCTTGCATGGTGACCCACTGATTCTGAGCCACTTAGGATAGTTTCTCGCCTCTCCACTGGCTTAAAAGGAAGCAGAGCGATCACTTTTCACATAAGTCAGCATGAAGAAAACTTACTCTCAGAATTCCTGATGTTGCTGGAATTTGGTATTACTGTATTTGAAGCATTATTTTAAATGTATTTTTCTTTAAAGATAAAAATCCACAAAAAGAAATGGGCAAGAAAAGTAGAGAAGGAAATCTATCAGGCAGCTTGGGTACAAATTAATAGTGTAGTACTCTGGTAGCACTTTTGCAGTTTTATGGCAGATTTGAGACAAGGTAATAAAGGATGGGATGTAGGTTGTAAAGTGGACACAGAATAGGACATCTCCCTTTGTTCCAGATGTTCACTTACTCCCTTCACTTGCAGGTTCTCCGTTATTCCTGAAAACCATTTGTGCCTTTTTGTCTATTTAATTAAGCTCACTTTAAACAGGTTGAATGGCTGTGTGTGCAGGAGCATGTAAGGAAATTACTTGGAGGGTGGAGAGCAGCTCCTGAGAGGGAGTATCAGTCAGGCAACAAATTTGTGCATTTCTTAGGTGTCGGGCACTGAGGTATATAGTTCTGAAGGTAAAAACCAGACTTGGTCCCTGTCTTCTTGGTGCTTACTGTCTACTGAGAAGAGAAATGTTAAATAATCACAAGTGAGTAAAGCATGAGGTAAGGAGAAGCATCAGGTGCTTCTGTAAGAGCTTGTGAGCTGGGATTAGGAGGTCTGGTGAGTCTACCTTGGAGAAGTGTGATGTTTAGGGGTGCCTGGGTGGCTCAGTTGAGCGCCCAATCCCCTGCTTTTTTTTTTTCCTTTTTTTATTTTTTTGAGAGAGATAGCAAGCAAGGGAGGGGCAGAAAGAGGGAGACAGAGAATCCTAAGTAGGCTCTGTGCTGTCATCACAGAGCCTGATGCAGGACTCAAACTCAGGAACTATGAGATTGTGTGACCCGAACTGAAACCAAGAGTCGGATGCTTAATCAACTCAGCCTCTGAGGCTCCCCGAGCGTCCAACTGTTGATTTCCGCTCAGATTGTGATCTCATGGTTTGGTGTTCAAGCCCCGTATTGGGCTCTGTCCTCACTGCTCAGAGCCTGCTTTGGATCCTGTCTCCCCCTTTCTGGCCCTCTCCTGTCCATATGCTGTCTCTTCAAAAGAAATAAACATTAAAAATCAATTAAGAAAAAAGTGATGTTTAACTGAGACCCAGGTGTTTGAATCAGTGTTAGCCAAGCAGAGAAGAAAGGGAAGAATATGCAGAGACTAGGAAGCAGGACAGCACAGCGAGCTTCAGGACCAGGAGAGGTAAGAACTGGTTGCCTAGAGGCCTGAGCCAAATGGAGTAGAGACACAGAGGGTGCAGGTACCTCTCAGCCTGCCTCTTATTTCCTTCCTCTCACAGGGTTATTACTCTCTTAGATTCCTCATCTGGCAGCTGGCTTTATGGTGATGCCCTTCCCTCAGAGAAGGAGCTCATTATTTATTTATTTATTTTGGGAGGGGGGGTAACTTTTTACTATGGAAAATTTCAGACCTAGACAAAGATAGGAATAATAGTAAAGTGAACTTTCATGTTCCCATCATTCAGCTTCAACAATCACTGATTTGTGGCTGATCTTATTTTATACATACACATCCCTACCCACTTCCCCCTTCCTTATTTTGAAGTAAATCCCAGAGATAATATCATTTCATCACTGACTGTTGTAGCATACATCTAGTCCGCCAGGACTCCTGGTCTCCAGATGTAATGGCATCATGATGGACAAAGGGACTGAGTTGCAGCAGCCTGGGAGAAAGGGGGCGACCAAGGGGCATGGGTTTCCTGGACGTTGGTGTAGCACAGCATTTGTTCTGTGGCTCAACCTGAAGTGCCCCAGTACTTTAGCAGGTGTGCCTTATGGGCCATCAAGGGTGTTTAATGAATTCCTTTGGACTGTTTTCAGAAGGAGAAGATGAGGAGGACGAGGAGGATGAGGATGGTGAGGAGGAAGAGTTTGATGATGAAGACGATGAAGATGAAGACGAAGATGTAGAAGGGGAAGATGATGAAGACGAAGTCAGTGGGGAGGTTGGTGCAACTATGTTTGCTGCTCTGTTTCCTATTTGTAGTTAAAAATGTGGGTGATTTTATTTTGTATTGTTTTTAAGAAAAAGGAAAGAAAAAGGACTTCCAATGCAATTAGTAAACTTGTAAATAGACCATTAACAGTTTGATGGTTAATTCCTGTTCCCCCCTTTTAGTAAATACTAAGTGAAATGCTTGGCTCTGTGGATTTATCAGTCTTGACCCTTTAACTTATTGGGAGGAAGTAGTGAGTTGGGTGTTCATTCCATAGGATGAGAAAACTGGAAATGTTGAGAGCTGATGTATGGTCTGTCCCTTCTGTTGTGTTGAAGAAGGGACGGGAGGGTATGTTTACCAAGTCTGAACTTGTTCCTGTATGTTGAGCCTAATTCGGTAAATACGTTCTACGATTGCCGTTTTCAAGATTTGGGGATGTAAAGTTAAACAAGAATGTGGTCCTGCCTTGAAAGAGCAGGTAGTCTAGTTTATGGGACACCCAGTAATATAGTATCTTTGAGGAGCTGACTGCCAAGGAGGACAGGAGAAAGGATTGACCTAACTTTGACAGACCTCAGGGAGGTTGTGAAGATAGGCAAAGAAAATGAAATGTCATCAAAAAGCATGTTCTTTGTAGTACAAAAAAAGTAAGGCTGAGCATTTATGTAATCTCACAGGTATTTAATGAAATTAAGTTCCTAAAAGGTTTTTATAAGGATGGGAATACAGAGAGTTTTGTCTGAACCTGTTCTAAAATTAAAAATTTTTAGGGGCGCCTCTGTAGCTCAGTCGGTTAAGCATCCGACTTCAGCTCAGATCATGATCTCACAGTTCGTGGGTTTGAGCCCGCAGCCTGCTTTGGATTCTGTGTCTCCCTCTCTCTGTACCCCTCCTTGTGCTGTCTCTCTGTTTCTTGAGGGGAAAAAAATGAATAAACATTAAAAAAATAAAAAAAAATTTTTAATCATTTCTCGAATTATCCATTATAAATAGTATATTAAATAAACATGTCTGGCAAATAAAATGCTTACTTCTGAAAAGCAGTTTTTTTTTTGTTTTTTTTTTTAATTTTTCAACGTTTTTTATTTTATTTTTGGGACAGAGAGAAACAGAGCATGAACGGGGGAGGGGCAGAGAGAGAGGGAGATACAGCATCGGAAACAGGCTCCAAGCTCCGAGCCATCAGCCCAGAGCCTGACGCGGGGCTCGAACTCACGGACCGCGAGATCGTGACCTGGCTGAAGTCGGACGCTTAACCGACTGCGCCACCCAGGCGCCCCTGAAAAGCAGTTTTTAAAGAAAATTTTAATTCATTTATTCAGAAAAACGAACAGATCTCAGAACATTAAAGTAGATAAAGATAATATTAAAGTTTTCTCCTTGGTGAATTTTTACATTTATTGGCAAGTTATTTTTCTCTTTGTACGTCTCAGCTTGGCAGATCAGCCTAATAGTGGTTGCTATTTACTGTTCTTTAGGAAGAAGAATTTGGACACGATGGAGAAGTTGATGAAGATGAAGACGAGGAGGATGAAGATGAAGATGAAGGTGGGTCTGATGCACGCATGTTGGTCCTCCTAAGTTAAAAGTCATGGGGAAATGTCCATGAATTTAGAATTTTAAAACTACAGGGAACAAAATAAAATTCCCTTTGCCCTGGTGGTCTTCACAGGGGCTTATATAGCCCTGTCAGTGAGCCTGTGCTGGTACAGGCCTCCTGCTCTACAGTGATTAATAATGCCTGTCTGCAGGCAGGAGGCTGGCCTTCAGTCCTGCACTTTAAATGTGTTTTTAGACCCCATCATTTGGGTTACTGCCACACAGGAGATTTCTGGTTTTGGAATTCTCTTTTGACAAAAAGTCTTTCTAATTGGATCATAATTTTTGCAGAGTATATAAATAGTACCTTTCCAGTTTTATTACAGTTAATTCTTTTTCCCTACCACAGCCAAAACCAGTGAAACACCTGTTTATTACTCATTGAGAGTATAGATTCTCCTACCTGTATAGGTTTCAGTGTACCAGATTATTTGCTCTGCTTTCCATTGGTTCATACTTTCTCAACATCTGCTCTCTGTGCCAGGTACTGGACCAGATTTTACATTGAATACAAGAGTTGGGGTCCAGTGCCTGCCTTCAAGGAGCTTTCTGAAACATAATGCAAATTTAAGTAATTTTATTGACATAGCCATGAATTTTTACTAATTGGAAAGAACAGGATGATGTATAGGTCTTTTTGGCTCAAATACCTAAGAATTCTAAGAAATACGTTTTGAGTTAATATTAACTTGCTACAATTTGAGTCATCTTTTAGATGGCAGCTTAAAGTTGAGAAAACTGGGTTAACCTTGCTGTCATTTGAAATGCTGCTGTGCATTTTGTCCTTCTTAAAACCGACAACCTACCAATTTGATCAGTCTTAACATTTTTTTCATCTCCCAACCATCAGAAGTTCATTGTTGTTACCTCCATTAGCAGTAACTTAGACAAATGCCTTTCCCATTGTCTTAAAGTGAATTTTTGTTATTGTACAGAGGAGGAAGAAAGTGGGAAAGGTGAAAAGAGGAAGAGAGAAACAGACGATGAAGGAGAAGATGATTAAGACCCCAAATAACTTGCAAAAAAAGAACTGTTCAGTATTGGTTGGACTGCTCATACGGATTTGGTAGCTGTTTAAAAAAAAAAAAGGTAGCTGTGATACAAACCCCAGGATACCCACCCACCCAAAGAGCCAAAGAATAGTTCCTGTGACATTCCACCTTCCTCCATTTAGTCCCTCTTGGAAATTCACCACCAAGCTTGGGGACTTCACCCCAACAAAATTGTAAGCGTTTGTTAGGTTTTCGTGTAAGACTCTTGCTGTAGCGTGGATAGCTGTGATTGGTGAGTCAACCGTCTGTGGCTACCAGTTACACCGAGACTGTAACAGCATTTTTACTTTCTGTACAACAAAGAAGCTTTGTAAATAAAATCTTAACATTTTGGGTCTGTTTTTTCATGCTTTTCTTTTCTTTTTAATGAGATTTTTTTTTACATTAGGACATTTTGTGTGTCAACTGCCAAAAAAGTATTTTTAAGAATTTAAGTGAAATAAACACGTTCCTCTTTGGTAAAGCCTAGTTGTATGCTTACATTTTTAAATTAGACTTTAATTGTAAGCTCATGTTAAAACACTACAGAACTGGTTTTTCTGGCATTTGTATGTATTAGGTGGTGGTTGAGAGGAAATGCACAAGTGTATAGGATCTTTGAACACTTAAATTTGATTCTCATTTCTCTACTGTGGGAGTAGACTATTACTTATTTGTTTATAAATTTTCATTTTTGAGAGAGAGAGCATACACAAGTGGGGGAGGGTAAGAGAGAGGGAGACAGAGAGAGGATCCTAAGCAGGCTCTGCACTGAGAGCAGAGAGCCGGACGCAGGGCTCAAACTCATGAACCATGAGGTTATGACCTTAGCCAAAGTCAGCCGCTTATCCAACTGAGCAACCCAGGCAGGTGCCCTGGGAGTAGACTGGTTTTTTTTTTTTTTAATCGTTTGTTTATTTTTAAGAGAGAGAGCATGAGTGGGGGAGGGGCAGAAAGAGGGTGAGACACAGAATCCTAAGCAGGCTCCAGGCTCTGAGCTGTCAGCACAGAACCCAACATGGCACTCAAACCCACAAACCATGAGATCATGACCTGGGCTGAAATCAGACGCTTAACCGATTGAGCCACCCAGGCACCCCTAGACTTTTTTAAAACAACATTTGAAATTCAGTGCTCTGGAGTCCCTGAAAGCCAATAAAAAATGTAAGGTTCAAGTAACAGGTGAGTTAAGAAAAAAAAAAAAAGTATAAAGGGAAAAGCCTTACTCAGGGTTCTGGGAGATCCTAATTCTAATTACTGCCTCTGCCAGTGGTTTTCTCTATAACCTTGTGTTGACCTCTGGATCACCTCCCAGTCTGTAAAATTGAGGGGGTGTGACCAAATGGCTTCTGAAGTCTCTTGTAGCACTGATGGTCTGTGACCCTCACTGACAGGAAGGTCTGAAGAAAAAAAATGGTCTTTGCATCAAGGCCAAAACATGTAGGGTTTGACTGACAAGTGAACAGAGTATGGTTTGTTATCAAGACAGGCGTGGTAAAGAGGAATGACATGTGAAAAGCCTTGCCAAGGAAGCGGGTAGGCACTGCCCAAGGTCAACTCAGCTTTTCCAGAAGATGGAAATTTTCTCTATTCTTAAAGATCCTAAAGGGATTTGGGGGAGGGGTAAGATGTTCGGCAGTCTGCGTGTTCAATGGCTCAACCATTTAATAGATACGTGACTTTGTTGTCAATGTTTTTTGTAGTAGAAGATTTGAGGATTCTTTTAGCAAATCTTAACACTATAAGCTACTGATATGAGTAGGGTTTTTATGCATAGAAGTAGTGTTAAAGATTGGAATCTGAGTGTGTAGAAAAAGTTACATAGTGTCAATGGTACTCCCAAATCGTGTACTTTAAAATTGAAGTCTCTAGGCTATAAAGTGGAGTTTGCTTCTTGCTAAGGAAATTCGAAAAAATTAAATTTTTATTTCTGGTTTAACAGGTACTACTATATATTCTTCAGCCTCAAGGCCTTTGCCATTTGGCAAATCTTCGAACATTATAAAGCAATTTCTTCCGTACCCAGGTTTTGCATATATTGCCAAATATCAAACAGTAACTTTGGATGATTGTTTTCCTGCCTCTTTAAGTTTACAGAATTTTTCCAGTATCTACTAAAGCACTTAGGCTGTGCCAGACACCCTAGCTGGACAAGTGGGAGAGGGCTGGGATGGAGACAAGCGAGCTGTTGGATATGCTCACAGTAACTAGTAGGGAAGAGAAGACAGATGCAGGAGTGATACTTAACTAGTACCTGCAGCTAGAGCTCCGGTAAGTGTGAGAGTAATACAGAGACTGGAAAGGTGGCATCCATCTAGAAGGATTGGGAATGTCTACTAGAAAAAATATTTCAGCTGTACATGCTGCCACTACAGGTTTACAAATAAAACGGTTTAGAAGAGGAATGGGGGAAGGAGGGAGGAGCATGATGAACAGGGGTCTGAGGTTGGTACCTGATTAAGTACCTTTAGATTCAAATGGGCAAGTTTGCCTAGAGGATGGGTAAGAATACAGGAATGGCAGGTGAGACTGCAGCACTAATTTGGGACTTCTAGGGGGCCTTTGAAGGTCATTCATTCTTGGGCATTCACTTTGTAAAATGTCAGTTTGACCTACTACATGTGGCCAGTAAAGATGTCTGGGAAATTACCAAGCCAGGTTTTCATTTCTATCATTTTTTTTTTTTTTTTAAATAGGGTTCTCCAGAAGTCTGCTGCCCTCTGGGAGGGCCTTGAGGCTCACCTGCTCTTGACTAAAGATTATTTTTAAATTGTTGACAAGCATTTTGGTGATGAGGCCACAGAGTGGACCCTATTTCTGGAGTTGTCTCCCATCTGAAGGAGACCCTCACTGAGCAGGTTTGCTTTCAGCTTTTGCAGTAAATGTGAGTTACCAACTGTCTAAGCTGGGTGGGAGCTGTATTGGGCTGGATGGCTGGTCTCACCTTGCTTGTGCGGGGCGTAGGTGGAGTGGGTCTCTTCCTCACACCTGCCCTCCAGCCACAGCAGCTGCTCTCTCCCTGTGTAATATGTTGGAATGTCTTGATTGCATCTGAAACATTTGTAAATAAAAAGGAACCAATACTCATTGTGGAGACGAGGAAACTGAGGCACAGGCAAGTGAATCAAGGACTAGCCCAAGGTTTCCTGGTGAAGTGAAAGAACCTGGCCTAGAAGCCACATGGCCCAGTTTTCAATTTGGTGCTCTTACCTTTAGTTTTCTCATTCTGCTCCAGGAATCCAAGCCCAAGAGTGCTGGCCACTTCTGACAGGAATGCAGAAGCATTGTGTAAGACGCTAGTCCCCACTCCTCACCAGCATGAGGACTCCTGACCAGTGCCCGCATGAGGGTAGTCAACGACAGTCCCATGTTTCCATTCTGGCATTCCTATTTGGGCTACACTACCCCCAGAGAAAGGTGAGACAGAACCATGAAGGTGGTTCTACCCTTAGGCCATGACCTTCCCTTTTCTCCAGCCCTGTCAAGTGGTGCTGACATCAATTTTAATGAGGCTGATGATACCGCTGTGCTGACAGTTTGAAAAGGGAGTCAAGTTACCAGCTGACTTAGACTTAAGCTTAGGTCGGCCAAACAGTTGCTCTGCAGGAAAACCACCAAGATTGCAGCAAGTGTAGAAATTCTTCCTAGAGCCAATTAGGTCAGCCTCATAATCTCTGACCAAGTATCTTATAACTTGTCCCAGAGGTATTGGGAGGGCATATAGAGAAAGAAAATTACCCTTGGAGCTATTCTGTCTGATGAAAGGGACTTTGCTCCAGGGCAGGAGGGATTTGTGAGGAGATGGGTATCCATTAAGGCACTGCCCCACCTCAACCCTAGAGAAGCAGGAGTGTTACTTGGTGAGGAAGGTTTCAGAATCCAGAGACCCTGTTTTAGCCCCAGCCTGGCCACTGGCTGGTATTTGGCCCCCTCCCCACAGCACTTCTTTCTATGAGTCTCCAGTTCCTCAGCTGAAATTACAGGGCCTGAACTAAAATGAGCTTACAGCTCTCTTCCAGCTGTACAGATCTGAATGGGGTACAATCCCAAGTTCTCTTCAGCAACAGGAATCCTTCAGTTACTCCTGCTTTACTCCGTTATCCCAGAGCCCTTCCGAGGAGTAGGTAAGGGTTTGAACTGATAGAAAATGTCAGCTTTGTTTTAGGCTGATGGAGTAAAAGGGATAGACCGGTAGCTGGAGACCAGTGAGGAGGCCAGATGTGGGCTGCACCTCTAGGACTGATGAGTGAGATGTCTTCCAAAAACTGCATTAGAAATACTAGCGGGACACCTGGGTGGCTCAGTTGGTTAAGCGTCCCACTTCGGCTCAGG